AAAAAAAAAAAAAAAAAAAAAAAAAAAAAAAAAAAAAAAAAAAAAAAAAAAAAAAAAAAAAAAAACCTTCCCAATTTCTGCTTAGACACTCGACAAAACACACCAATTCAGGCCAAGAACGAGAACTGAGATTCTTTCTCTACAAGACAATAGGAGAACAAGTCCTTCCATAGACTATGAGCTAAGTAAAGAAGCATACTTTCCTCCGGATTTCAAGCCTCTACAAAAATGAGAAAAAAAAAAACTCCAATCTATTTGGATCGTTGTAACTAAATCTTTTCCTAATTTTCTCTATTTCTAACCGCAAGCGACTAGAGACTTTTCCTATAATTTTCATAGCTCAATTCCCTGGATCGGCTTCTATTTTTGTATAGCTCATTGAATTTACATTCTTTTGGATGACAATGGTTTCTCAATGAAACACACACATATATATCAATGTCATAAATCAAGAATGAAGTATAAAAATAAAGGATGATAATCTTTCAGCTAAAACTATCATTGGATCAATTTTCACAAGTACGGCATACCAAACAAGTCAATCAAAAGAAAACTAACCTCCTTCAGTCGAAGAACCCTCTCAAGAAACCCCTTAAAGATGTCTTTCCGATCATAAAAACATACCCAAGCTGCTACATTCTCTCGAAACTACAAGATTAAACTACAATCTTTAAGAAACAAACAATAATATACTGTTTCAATAAATTATAACCTAATGACAACAATAAAAGAATGGTAAGGTTCTTTCTGGATGAGCTCTTACGATATTCACTTCTTCATAAAATTAATAAAATTGTGCCTGAACGCACATCAATATAGAAGGGGGGAAATGGAGGGTTTTTTTTTTTTCTCCTTCTTCCAAAAGAGCATCTACCAGAAACCACGAATTACCGTGCAAAGCTTATTGCAACACTACGGAATTTCGAATTAGCATGCAACTTCGCATTTCCGCCTAAATGCTTTGCAGATTTCCATTACAACACAACGAGCAGTACATTTAAACGGAGAAATGCTAATGAGATCAGTTAATGAATTCCAGAAAGCTTTCTCTCACAGAATAATTACCTTTTCATTAACCATGAGAATCATCGACATTACATGCTCGAACGTCGCAGTCTCCGGGTCAAAATTAGGCCACAAATAGTTTTCCAAGTACTGACTGACCTCTAAAATCATCACCCTCTGCAGAGGCACGGTCTTCCGCCCTTCTTTAACCGAAAGCTCCATCTCATAAATCTTCTTTACTAACTCTGGATCAAAGGGCTTCGAAGGGTCGCTTACTTTCGACCAGTTCGCCGTCGCAATCTTAGTCAGCCGGTCTCGCTGAATCTCAGCTAGCGTTATAGTGTTTGGCAGTGTCGCACCAGGCATAGACTCCACGGGCTTGTCATCGACCTCATTGGACTCAACTGGGTACTCCGCCACTCTGTGGCGCTTGAAATCGTAAACACCAGTTCCATACACCTTCGGCATTGTAAGTGATTGGAAACCTTAACTTCTACGGCGGAGGAAGGAGGTCTAGGGTTCCAGAGTTCGCAAAATTGGTGCAGGGTTTTAGCTAGAGGGATGGACTTACTGAGGGATAAACCTCGGGGGCTGGGTTTCAAAGGAGCAGCAGAGTCGATGTAAACGGCCTGGTCACTGGGCGGAGTCGATGAACGGCGAAAATCTTCACTGTGGCGATCGAAATTTACTGATTGAGAGAAGAGTCGCCGGCGTCGGCGTAAATGACCATCACCCGACCAGAGCGGGTGATCGTCTTGTACCTTGTAATTCCAATCCCAAGGCGTTTGGAACGCGAAAATTGGTGAAATTTTCAAAAGAATTTCATAAACTACATGCTCTTTCTTTTATTATTGAAAGAAAAAATTCAATTATGTTGTAAATTTTTTATTGTATTAATTAAAAATTCAAATTATAAATTATATAAGTTTAAATCTAAATATTTTATATTTGAACTTAGACTCTCTTCTGATGACTATTTTCACTTGATCTCATTTAAAATTATCACAAAATCAAATCACTAAAATTATTTTAGATTAAAATCAATAATTTGATAGATAATACTAGTTTTATTTGCATTAAATAAGAGCATAAAAATAATTTCATTTGTGTTTAACCATCACTAAACATATTAGAAAAAATCTACCCGACCATCATTAAACATATTAGAAAAAACCTATCCGATAGTTATATGCAGTAAGCCGTTATTGCTGCCTTTTGCTTATATTCACATATAACACTAAATCTTTCTTTCAAAATTTCTCTGCCCCGTTTTTTAAAACTTTCTTCTTGAACGGGAGCTGAGAACGAATAGGCTTAACTCAAATTGTTGCTGAGATGTAATTGTCGCTCAATCGCAAGTCCACTCTTTTCAAAAGTAGAAATCATCAACTATCCATTTTTAGCCAAACATATTAGTAACAAGACTGTTAATACATCATCACACTAGACATGCAAAAAAATTCGATCTAATAACGTTGTTCAAGAACAAGACATTTAGATTAAAAATAATATATATCCAAAAACTCGAAGACAGTAAAAAATCAACCCAATAGAAAATTTTAGAGCAAATCGGTTTCAAAACTACTTTCCTTTGAGTTGGTTGATTCCGGATTGAAGGAGAATATGGAAATTCCCAAATGTAAATATTTTACACAACTGACAGAAGAGATCAATACCCAAAATTTCAACATAACAAATGCTGAACCTACAAATGTTGCATTGAATCTACTGTTCTTCATGTAAATGAAGATTCAGAGCAGGTGATGTGGGTAACAGTGCTTGAAGCTCTCCATAGAACTGTCCTAGACGACTGTAATCTGAATTTTGCTTCAACAAATCTATTGTTTGCGAACTCGTATTTGCATCGACGCCTTCTTCTTTCGTGTGTTGTGCCATAATATCGTCATGGAATAGCCTAAGTGCATCTGCTGTCGAAAGAGAGTTCACAGATTCATACAAGCTTTGGAATTTACTTCTGTTTTCTTCAATCCCTACTAGCTTTTCTTTCAAGTCATCAGGAAGGGAAGCAAGCACACTTCAGAAGATGAAAACGAAAACATTCAGTAGAAGGCAGTATTACCAAAACCAATGGACCAATGGACTTTTTTCCATGAACAGAACAAATTTCATTGAGAACAGCACAAAGGCAATACAAAAAAGCAAAATAAAAAAAGAAACATTAAAGAAAGAATTACAAAAAGATGCTCCAATTCAAAAGAACGAGAGACTAATTGCTGAAGTCCTTAATGACACAAAAGATCGAAAGAGGTAATAAACTTGGTCAAGTCCCAACTCCTCCAATAACTTTCCCTTTTCACTAAAGACTCCAATTTCTTTTCAGCCACAATTTTCCATAAAGTCAGCAAAGGAAAACAGCCTGTCAAACTAACTATTCGACTAAGAATTCGCATTTTAAATAGCCACCTAAATTATGATTCAACGTCTAATTATATCGCATAATTTTGCTAGGTGCAGCAATAGATAAATCCTCACCAAAGGAACGACATGGACTTAGACTAAAATTCAAAGGAAATAAATAAGAAAGAGGGCAAAAAAGGCAATGCAGGTTACCAACTTCACACTGTTGCACGACACATGAGACTGATTTAAATCGGGTCCTGGAGAAAGCCTATGCGTGCTGCACAGAGACTGGGAGACAGATGTGGTTTCATAAATACAACCCTGGACCTCTTTGCATGTCATACTTGACGGGCTCTCTTAACAATACAGAATGCAACATCACGTAGGGCCGACTTGAAATGACTTTCTAATTGCAAAAAAAAATCATTCCAAACAAGCCCGAAGGACTAAAATTTGACAGACTATTTGAAATGTCAGCTGTACTTAACACATATTTTAGAACATAGGAGCAATATAATATAACTGTTCAATTACAAGAACCCAGTGTCCTTTCACGTTAAAATAAAAAGAAAATGAAAAAAAATCTTGCTGACACAAACTTCAAGAGATACGTATGAATTCATGCATGTGTAAAATGGTAGGAAATTTATTCTCTCCTAACCTGCTAACACCTCTGACAAGACCCAACTTATATCCGATAGAGACTGACTGCTTGAAGCCAACATTAAATCCCTCTTGAGATGCAGCTTCTTTCCCAGCAATTAAACCATCACGGTATCCAATCTAAACGATATGCAAGAGTGAAGAAATCCATTTAAATCCTCTCTTGTGAAACCATTTATTAAAGAAAAAGATAAAATAGAATAGTTAATCTGTTACCGTATGAAATTGGTCGTGTCTTCTATGCCACTCCCTATCCAGATCAGATGTTTCCTCCAAGCCTTCATCCGAACCACCCCATAAAGATCCATCATCTTCACACGAGTCATTCACAGCAGAACCTGCAACCACACCCTAATTCATATAATCCTACAATCGTAGGTCAAGTTATGACAGCGTTTTTTAGGCATAATTTGTGATGTATGGTCCCTTGCTAGATTCCATGTTTCTGTGGGCATTGGTGACAAGAATCTTCGGTAACTATTCTTTGAGTATTGTTTTACATAACTGGAGCACCTCCCTCTAGTGAGGTTCCCTTTTATATGTACCAAGGCAGTATTGAAAACATAGGAATACCTGATGGCCGATTTTGTCTGTAATCAGATAATGACATGTCAGCCAATTTTGATTTTGTTGACTGTAAACTCTCGGAATAAAGTTCTTCAGCAATGGTACCCTCCATCTAACAGAATTAGGCCGATTGCGATTGCAATCTTCAGCAACGAATAAAAGAAAACCTTATAGTGAACTTGATTTCAAAGCACAATGACTTGCTTAAATTATCGCAACATAGCGGAAAAAGAAAATAAACGAAGGGTTCTTGACAAAACCAATTAGTAGAAGCATTGGGCCTATACACTCAATTCCACAAAAACAGATGAGCATTTCATACAGCAGAACATCTTCGCCCATCAACAATTTCCCATGCCCTTATCTTTTCATAAAACTAGAACTAGAACAACAAATTAAAGCCCCAATTTCGCTCAAAGAAAAGCTTAAACACCCCAATAACCGAAATGTGGAAAGATCAATTGTACGAAGAGAAGGAGAGGAAGAGAGGTGGGATACCCAAATCAAAATTATGAACATCGCCAGATTCACTTATCTCACTAAATCTGCATTCCAAAACCCGAGCTAATCATAAACCATTTATATCATCAATCCATCACAAACAAAACTTCTTCTCAATCAATTTCTAAGACCCAGACTCAGATTCTGTGTCAGAACGGATCACCAGCTGTGAAATTGATGAATTACAACCAAGCAAGAACACCTAGAACATTGGGCATCATTCCTATTATTCAGTTTCCAGCCTAAGGTCGGTACTCAACATGCAAAATTCCAATTTAATTCGCATCTACTAACTTCTAAGGGAAATAAATCAAAATGGGTTCTCCAACCACGTCATAAATACTAAAGATACTATCAGCTATTAAATCAAAATAACCAACCGTAGGATAGCATTTCTATTAACGTCTAAACATCAACAATTCATGTCCACCGAGTATCTTAGTATCAAACGGGCATGCATTATCAATCTTTTTAAACAGGTTCCATTGTGTAGATTGAATTCAATGTACACAGGGAGAGAATTAGAGAAAGCAATAAACTGATTACCGCGAGAAAAAGAGTGTTGGGCGAAAACAAGGCCGCGCCGTCAGCCATGCGTGCTGATACTGATAACTGAGAGATGGAGCGGACGGCAAGTAGGATAGATTAAAATTGGTGGAGAAGAGGGGCGCCGCAACAGGGAGAGAGCACGGGGTTGGCGTGGCGGCGTGAGGTTGCAGCAGAGAGTGAGATAAAGAAGAGAAAGAAAAGTGCAGTCGAGGCGAGGCGGCGATCGGCGATCGGCAACGACAGAGAGGAAGTATCAAAGAGACGGGAAAAAAAATCAGAGATGGGATTGGTGTGGGCGGTTACCGCAAAAGAAATGTTTATTATATTTTTATTTACAAAATATTCATTAAATATTTTAAATATATATCGATAACAATTACAATGGGAAATCAGCGTTTTAATACTGCAAAAATAAATGAAAATTTTATTTTCTTTTATTTTATATTTTTCCCTTATTTTTAATTAAATTTTTTAAAAAGGACCGAATTTAGTTTTTTTTTTTTTTTTTTTTAAACTATGCAAGCTCATCCCAATTATCTTCCTTCAATTTCTTTTTAACTTCCCCTCAAAAATTTTAAAAAGCCTTTGCTAAAGGGTTTCTACACTCTTACCATTAATATTTCGTTCTTCTGTCTAATCGAGATAAGATTTCGCAATCTACCCACCTTCGAGTTCAACGTCTTCACTAGTACTTGTTCCTCTATTCAATCGATGTAACATCTCGCAATTTATCCACCTTCAGGCCCTACGTCTTCGCTGGCACTCGTTCCGCTAGTCGATCGATGTAAGATTTCGTAATTTATCTACCATCGGGTCCAACGTCTTCGCTAACACTCTTTCCTCTTTTCAATCGATGTAAGATATCTCAATCTACCCACCTTCGAGCTTAACGTCTTCGCTGACACTCGTTTCTCTCTTCAATCGATATAGGATCTTACATATTAGATATAAAAATGTATTTCTAGGCCTCATAGTTGCTATTTATTTATTTACACTAATTTTTTTAATATATTAAAAAAAACATAATTATTTTATTCATTGAAAGAAAAAACAAAAAAAACTACTCTTTAGGGAAAATAAAAACATATTATTTAGATAACAAAAAAAAAAAAAAAAGTGTACCCCATAAGTAATAGAGCTCCATGCACAACAATGGTGAGCTTAGAAACTGGAAGAACAAAAGTCCTTAAATTGTTTGGCTTTGAAATCCAATACTATCTCCTAACTTGGAATTGAGAAATCTTTTTATCAGGATTTCAGTTTTATTTTGGGAGACATTCCATACCTGCAATGTATTAGCAGATCATACTTACAATTCTAAGCTTCGAATTACGCTTTAAGTCACCGTCCCACTAGATTACTAAATTTTTGTTCTGGGTACGGCCACACCATTCTAAATGTAATTTATGTATGAAATTCTATAGTATTTCTATTTTAAGAATACTTTTGAAATGTTTATGAAAGATCAGATACAACAATAATTTGAAACAAAAGGCAAAGTTCAACGGTTTAACCAAATTTCTATTAGGGAGAGCGATGTAACTTTATCCCAGTAATGAAACTAAAACTATTCACTAGCTAGAGACACTTCTCAAACCAGAAACTAAGCAAGCCTATTTAGCTTCGTCAAATGGTACAGTCACAAACAACCCTGAGAAAACTATAGCATATGAACATGGCATTTAAAATAAATAATAAGCATACTTACAGCAGTAACTATGAAGCTCATAGACATCAAAAGCCAGTTTATTGAGGATATATGCGAGCTACTTCCCACTACCCCATACTAAATGAAAAATATTCCGGCTAGCAGCTGCATTGATCAAATTGTTGCTCTGTCTCCTTAACATCTCTTCTTGATGGGTGACATTATCGTCCTAGTTTTTCATTAGAAAACAATAAGAAATTACTTTAAAATACACACACTTCTCTTATTAGCTCACATTTTCAATAATATGTGTTTTCGTTGTATAAGGAATGAACTAAAGAAATTTTGGGTTGTGCAATTTTACTTTTGTGGGTATAATAATTTATGGATATTTGTATGAAATATTAAAAGGTGGGTTTCGTAAGCCTAAGCTCATGAAACAGGGTTTATGCAGCCGTGAGTCCCAAACACACCCAAAACTGATTGACTAACCTCTAGCCTCGCTGAAAATGACTTGTCCAAAAGTACTCTCTGTCTTATGTTCATAGATTAACAGTTTTTGTCAATTATATGGTTTTAGAGTAGTAGATGGGAACTTAATTCCTTCACCTATATATAACAAATATGTCTTAAACCTATCCCAATTCCCAGTAAGCGCGTAATTGGAAGGACGATAAGCAACCTTATGAAATAGAAGAAAAGGAAATCGAACTCACTAAAAGAGAGTATGCTCGGGCAAGTGATAGAAGAGTGGGGTACAAATCCAAAACAGTGACCGCAATCTCCTCTGTAACTTGTGGCACCTGCATACATACATGCCATTAGACTTTGAATGATCATGGGATTCTAAGAATGAGCTTTGCTTTCCTTTATAAAAATGTTCATACCTGCATGAGCTGAAGTGCAAAAACATCACTAACCGTCATCTTATCCAATTCTTGGCACTTTTTGATAAATGCATCGAGACGAGGACAGACATCAAAATGACTAGGACGCTCATCAGATGCCTGTAATATGTAGTATTGTGTAATTGCATGAGTAAGATAACCATACTTCTTTAGTGTATCTGACAAGCCACTGGTTCTTTGCACATCAAATCCCTCTAAAATCTCTGTTGTAAAGCAACTGCAGAACATAAAAAACATACCACAGTTTTTTTTTTTTTTTTTTTTTTTTTTTT